TATATATCCAATCAGGACGTGTCGGAAGATTTGATATCAAATAAACATCACCGATAATGTTCATATTTACTACCTATTACTAGGTGTGAGGTTTTATCACAAAAAATATCAATTATTTTAAGATTACTTAATCTTCCATATATAATGTAATACCCCGTAATTAAAAAAAAAAGTTAAATATATGTGTGTATGTGGGTAATTATTTTTACGTAATGATTTTATTAGATTTCCTTTATGCAAGAACCTACTTTCGATATGTAAAATAGTCTCAACATAAAATCCTTTTTGCTACAAAATTATTTCAAAAAAAAAAAAAAAACTAACAAACTAGCTAGTATTATTTCATGTTCGTATGTAATTAGAGATATTTTTAGTTTGAATTGGAAAATGAGATTACGATAAGTTTGGCTTGATTTTTCTCACAAAAGCTAAGTGACGTTTTGCTAACCATTAGAGAATAAAGAGGGGTTAGTTACTACTCTGCATAGGTTGAGGTGGGATTCTTTATCTTATATAGTATGGATGTGGCCTTTGGGTATTTGTCCACTTTGCATGATAATTTTTGTTTATGACTAACTGAACACATGTTGCTTTGTCATATGAACACATCCTATTGTCAATGATTAACTTCACATTTGGTGTGTTTCTATTGGAACACATATTAGGGCTAATGATTAGCTTAACATTTGTTGTTTTTCTATTGAACCACATATCATGACTATTGATGAGAACAACACTTGGTGTCTTGCTGTTGGAACACATGTGCCATGAATCATGAAGAAAAGAAGCAAACAAGGTTAATCAAAGGGAAGGAATTCAAGGGAAGAAACACAATCACTCACTATATAAAGGAAGGAGGAGGAGAGACCAAAGAAGGGGGAAGAAAAGAGAGCAAAACCGTCATTCTCATATCACTTTTCTTAAATATTTTTGTCAAGGCTTTTAAGTTATTGTCATGTATTTATAAATCCTCATTACCTAGTGAAATACAAATACAAACACAACCCTAGTGGACGTAGCCAAATTAGTGAACCACTTAAATCTCTGTGTTCCTTTGTCTAATTGCTATAAATTTGAGTTGAGCAAACCATTTATTAATAAAACACTGAGTTTTTAATAGAAACATAATGGAAAAGGAGGATCGACTCAAGGAGGAATTGGTAACATATTGCTTATCATTTACATTAAAAATTATTACTTTGTTGTTAATATTATGAATATATTACTCTTGTTACTAATCAATTTGATTTATGTTAAAGCTTGTAAGCTTGTTAGATAAAATGTGAGTATTGATATCTATGTGAACATGACATATACATAAACATTCATGCAAAGCAAGAAAAATAGTTGTGTTGTGTCAAGAGCTCACTTGTGTAAAGTGTTTGGGTTGTGAAGATATTCAAGAACTAGAGAATGCCTTGAATATAAATAATGAAATCTTGTATATATCAGGCGTAGGGGGAATGGCTTGAATATACAATTGGACGTTGGGAGAAGTGCCTATATAAATAAAGTGGAAATTGAGAATTTAATTCTGAAAATTGGGCTTAGGGGATGAACGGGAGTTAACTCATATTCTAAGGCATTCGGAGCCAAGTGGTATAGGCATGGTATGAGACGTGCAAGCTTGGATGCCTTAGGTATGTATTAGCGGGATTAGTTTTTATCAATCCCACAACCCCCTCAGTTTCAAAAGCAGCCTCACCCACACGCACTCAGCCTATTCAAACTCTCCTGCCTCAAGATTCATTATCACGCCTTTCCCTCCAACCCCCTTTCTCTCACTACCTTCCACATATCAAATCGTGGAGGCTTTTAAGTTCGGAGGCAGGTTGTCTGCGCTGGTCCTTCTCATCTCTTCTTATTTTATGTGGTTACGATAAGGTATGTTAACATTTTATATTAATTTTTTTATAAAAATAATAAGATAAAAAATAATAAGAATACGTGGGGATGGGAAGGGCAACCACAGGAAGGCAGACAATGAGTTCCATCGTCGCCAGAAAACCTTGGTAGGAACCCTCCGCACACGAACTCCACAAAAAAGGATCTCGGAGCGGCATTCAAACTCGTCTTCATCCTAATACTCGAAGCTGCTAAAGGAAGGTTTGGGAAGATCGATGCATGTGAGTCCGAATCGGGAATCGGTTTGGGATCCGGGTCTGGTAGGGATGGATCAGGGAAGGTGAGTCGGGTTGGGATGCGGTGGTGAGGAAAGGGCGGAGGCGAGTCGGAAGAGGGAGTGAGGAGTAGTCGTCGTTGTCCTCATTTATTTCGTCGCCGTAGCCTTCGAATTGGGAGTCGGCGACGTGGAGGGAGGAGGGAGAGAAAGAGCGGTGGGAGAAGATGAAGAGGAGGATAAGTGCTTTCATCTTTATCTTCTTTCATTTTTAAAGTACAATTGTATAATTGTAAACGTGTGTTGGTTGTTCAAGTGCCATGGATACAAATTAGCAGGTCCCTGTCACTGCTGTTAATGGTTAAGCTTGTAGTTTTCCTTGTGGTTGTTGGAATGGGAAGGTAGAAATGGGAATTTATGCTCCTTTAGTTTATTTCAATTAAGTCACTTTTAGAATTAACAATTACCATGCATCCAATTCTAGGACTGTATTTTTACTTGTTGGGGAGTTGAGTTTTTTTATACAGTTTGTAAGTGACCCCACTTCACATACTCTGCAAGTAGCCAAATTTGGTAATGAATTTTTATAGGCAAGTCAGATGCTTTGTCAAACGAGAACTCAAAGACAGATAGTAGAATTGATATATAAAATTAATGATGTTTTTTGTATGTTCTTAGGGTGCACTCCTTGTCCAATGATGTGTAATTTTTGTTACATAAACAAAAGGCTTCTCTCTTCTCAAAAATAATAATCCAAAAGTTTTATGTGATCCTTTGATTGCATTTGTATCCAATATTTTTAAATCCCACGGTGTGTTCAAACTGAGTAGATTTGTTGGACATTCTTCGTCTTAAGACGAGTCAGACTTATATTATGGGTGAGAAGCAAAATTCATTTGATGAATTTGAATTTAGCAGTCTCTAGATTGCGTCTTAATAACTTAATGGGCTGAATGAATTGGCATCTACTTGCAGATTCTGCACATCAGCTTGTTAGTCTTTAATGCTCTTGCGATAAAGGGCGTTTCAGCTCTCTGGTGGTAGTCGATCAGTGTTTTCCAAGAAAGAAAATGTCAATGCAGTTCTCCTTGTTGCAAGCCAGGTGAGACATATGTACATCTATCCTCTCAAAACCTTGCACGTTTCTTTTTCTTTCTAAAGTTTACTTTGACTGACCACTATGAAATATGTTTGCCCTCCAACTGTTGAACTTCCCATCCTTGGTGAAAATGTGACTTGGTCTGCAATCTCTTGTAGGCCAAAATGACATTATTTAGGATAATTATCAACTTTTGTCGTTGCAGGTAGCAATTTACTACAAAGAAGTATCAACTTTTGTCTTGCTTATCCACTTACTGATGTGCAGAATTTCAAGGTAATGTGATGTTCTTATAGTGGAAAAACTTATATTTCAATTGCATACTATTGGAGGTTCTATTCTTATGTAATTAACTTGTTTTACATTACTATAATCATTAAATTATTGAGTTTACTAATGTTGTTGTGTAGGAGGATAGGGAAAAACTATTTGAAGGAAAACTTAAACAGAAATGGAAGATCTTCTCCTGATGACCATCTTCATTAATTCGTTTATGGAGCAGCAGAGATTCGATGAGATGCAAGGCTTGCTGGGGAAGATGCATCAATCTAAAAATGTCTGCTTTCAAGTTCTTTTTGCATTAGAGATGAAATATGTAATATTACAATATATGTTTCTGAGATTGAGAATGTGTTGTAGGCTTTCTACATTTTATGAAAATTAAAAAAAATAATACCTCAATTCAGTTTCAGTTTTTTAAATTTTGATTTTTTTTATATTTAATTCTTATTGGCACAATTATAATATAAGTGTTAATATGGTTGGAAAAGGTTTTCTGATAAAGTTGTCAGAAACAGGCACAAATAGTGGTCCATTTGTGCCTACCTCTTTGAGCACCAAACAATCTATTGTGCCCTTTTAGCAAAGGCAACGTCCATAGAGGGCACAAATACAAATATAGTTGATGCATTGTTGCTATTGGTCTATGGGCACATTTGTTGGTGCTCTTTGGCCTCAAAGGGCACATATAATTTATTGTGTGTAGTGGCCATATTTTTTGTAGTGTAGAATGAGGAGTCTCAAAGCAAATATGCCTCATAGACGAAAAGTGACATACCAAGCACTGAAACCTTCACAAAAGCCATCACAAAACAGCGAGGCTACAAAATCGCCATAGCGACACAAACAACTTGCCGAAGCAACACTGACAAAACATTAAAACTACATTAGAAAACAAAAGAACCGATGACGTGTCCACAATAGAGATGTAGGTACAGAATTGGCAGGAGGCGTGGGTAGCAGAGGCACGTGTAGGATTGCCGGAGGCACGAGACGCCAACTGTAGTTGGGACAATGCACATAGGGGTAGGGCAGAGGGTGGTGCTATACACACACACTCATTTTTATTTTTCACACACCTCTTTTAATTTTTGGCTGTCGGATTGAACGAATTAAAGATGATCAATGAACAAAAATTAACAAAGTTATGTGCAAATCAATGTGAAAAAACAGTCTCTGTTTATTGAGTTGGATATTTCCTCTTATGGATTGGGCTCAGAAAAATCCTATTCCTAACGGGCCTAACAGTATAATTCCTCTTATGGAAAATCCTAAAACAAGAGTCAAACTTTTTCCATGACGTCAACAGATATCCCATGCACTGTTGTGTGTTCCCACAGTCCAAGGCTTCCATGGCTACACGCAATAAGTGACATGCAAAAAGGCTTGCATGGTTTCCACGTTTCCAATGTGTAGTTTCTGTACGTGTAAGCCCCAAAACAATGCTTAGCTCTTCAAGCGGTACCTCTCCCAAACCGCTTAAAAATAGAACATTTCAAACTACAAGAAAGGAATTAATACTCAAAAACTAGTGTGTCCAGATCAACATCATGGCTGCTACATCTCAATCTTCAGACTCTTCACTACCCAAGTTAGGTAATTAAGTAAGCTCATAAATGTTAAATACTTAATTAATTAACTTTTAAGGCCTTAATAATTGTCTCACTCGTTATTTTGGTATGTAGATACTGTGAGAGATATACTCCTGTGGAGGAAGAAGAAGCAGAGTTTTCTGGTTCTTTTGACAGCAACAGCGACATGGATTTTGTTGGACGTCTATCAATTCAACTTCCTCACTGTAATTTCATACGTTGCCATGTTTCTTGTCACTTCGTTGTTCCTTTCGGGCAACTTGCTTAGGCTTCTCGGCAAGTAAGCTGAGCTCCCCTATACTTTTAACTTCCCCTTTGTTTTTGTTTCTTTCTTCAATAATTGTTTTATGAGTTTTACATCTGGTTTGCTTATTTCCAGAGAGCCTCCAGATTTGTCAAGAGTTGGAATTACAGAGAAGTTCGCTTTGGAGATGGGAAACACCATTCGTGCTTGGGTTGAAGAAGGAATTCGATGGATGTTTCAGGTGGCTGCGGAGAGAGAGTGGTTTGTATTTGTTGGAACTGTCTCTGGTTTGTGGTTGCTCTCCCGTGTAGCAAGATGCGTTGATCTGCTTACTCTTCTTTATATAGGTAATAACTCGTAAAGGAAACTTCTTAATTCACTTGCTTACAGACACATATATACTTATGTTATTAGATTGCGTATTTGGACCGTTATTAGGATATTCAAATCGGAAGAGAATGTATCCAAATTAACAGTTTGGAACCACAATCACTTTAATATAGCAACAGAATTCAGGCTAGAGAACTTTACTTTATTTATTTATTATTATAGTATCTTCACAAATTAATTTCATTTCTTTCTAGTTGATAATTTGTTATCTGATACATATCCACTAAGGTCCCTACTAAGGGTGTCCGATTATAACGGGGTAGGGTGTCCTTAATTTGACTTTGACAAGAGGTGATGAAGAATTCCGCACCCTTACTGGACAAAACTAGTTCAACTGTATATTGTGCACATATTACCATTGGTTTTTCCTAAACTCTTGGGTTTGAAGTGTTTTCCTCAAAAAGTTATCAAGGTTCACATGCTATTAGTATTTATCTGCTAAAACAAATGAATACATTGCACGTATTTAATAATCCTAGCTAGGAATACGAGGATGAATAATTGGGATGCTAATTAACGTTGCGCGCGTAGGTATCGTTATGGGCATGACAGTTCCAGCAATGTATGTGAAATACGAGGACAAGATAGGGAGGAGTGAGGAGAAGTTGAAGGCACAGTTGAAAAGGTACTATGACACGCTTGATGAGAAGGTAGTCAAGAAAATACAGAACAAGGTGACAGTCGGGGAAAAGAAGGTGAAGAAGGTTGAGTAGCTGTTTAATTTGTATGCGTTGCTTGGGAAGTAGTATCCGCAGTACAGTACTATACGTATATTTCTCCAAGTTAGTTGTAACTTGTAATTACTTCTTGATCAAGAATCAAGACCATGCATGCTTGATCTTGTCTTTCCATAGTATATATGTATATTCATGTTATTATAGTCAATGAGCAACGGGCTCTAACAAATCAACAAACAATGTTGGTAACTGACATCAAGAGTCTTAAAAAGCGAGGGGTTTTTGAAAGGCAGTTAGATTTTACTTTCAAGGTCGAACATGCTCTGTTTAGCTCCCTCTTAGAAGGGAGAGAGCAACTTGTATGAACGGTACACTGTCACAATCTCTGTGTCCTTCTAATGATGGAAGGCTGGACACAGAGAAAAATTAACAGACGTCCTGTGTTATCGACCCCGAATGTCAGTGTAGCGGTGTATCCGTGCCATACAAGATCTTCTTTGGAACAGGACATATTACTGAAGTTGACAAGGTGTGGCCATGTATCCGCACATACAAGTTCTTTAGAAGAGGACATATTCCTGAAATTGACAGGGTGACACTCGGGGAATAGGGTAGGAAAAGAAGGTTCCGTAGCTGCTTAATTGCATGGGTTTGCTTGGAAAGCTTCTGCACTTTAAAATTTCTTGAATCTTGAACTTGTCAGCAGCTTAGTTGTAATTTAACTGTCACCAATACTCTTGTCAATTAAGTCCTTGCTTTGATATTGTCTTTTCATTGGTATTAGACCAAGTCCAAGCGTAGGACTTTTCTTTTCCTAAGTAAATTCTGAAACTTATGATTCTTTATTTAATCCCACAAGAAACGGATTCCTGTAAATAAATCAAGCATATATCCTCTCTCAAACCAAATATTAGAGCTGCGAAATCTAGTTCCAAAAGGTACTAATGGAAAAAATTCTTCTAGATGCTACAATAGGACGCGCACTGGAGGCGCTACTAGGAGCTGTCTTGCAAGCCAGGGAGAGAGCGCATATGTATGAGTCTATTCTTGCACAGTTAGAATTCACGATTCATACAATAACTCCAAAAATCAGTGACATCGACCGTCTTTCTGACGAAGATTTCCCAGACGATGTCATCCATCGAATACGCCTACAGCTGATTCGAGGGAAGGAGCTAGTCGATAAGTGCTCGAATGCAGGTGGCTGCAACTTCTGCAAGGGGCAAAGGTACTACAAGAAGCTCCTCGAGTTGGACGAGTCTCTTCGGAGGCTGATTACTATTGATTTGCAAATTAAGGTGGCATTGGATGTTGTAAGGATTTCAAATGAGATGAAGGCAATATGTAGGAGATGGGATCAAATGGATGTGAATGGAGGAGGTGGGAGGGGTTGGATTTTCAATTTAAGTGGAAGTAGGGTTTTGGGTATTAAGTTTTCCGGACTGAAGAGGTTTGTGCAATCTGTGGAGTCAGCACCAAAGAGAATCCTTATAAATTTGGTTACATGTGGGGCAATTACAGGTCAATAACAGCAGCTTAGTTCTGTCCAAACTCGGAGATATGCAATTGAAAAGTAACATAATGAACTCAATAATTTGAAAGGAAAAGAAAATATCATTTTTATGTATTTATTCTTACAACATGCTAGGAGAGGAAATAGGATTGACTGTGTAATAATTATATATTCTGTTTGGGGTTGATGCTGCTGTTGTTGTTTTTAATACAATGATAATTTACACTAATTAAGGAGCAAAAGATTTGAGCTGAACCACGTAATGAGCCAATTATAATTGATATTGTAAATCCAAGAAAATTTGATTTGGGCGCGTATGTCATCAAAATTTATTTATTTACACTTGGATATCTAACGTATTATGTTGTAAATTAAAATGACATTGTACTAAAACAAGTTTATCTAATCAAATGCTCACCGTTGCTCTAGTAAGAAAAAAACTCCCATCAACTAATACAGTGAGAGAGGAAGCTTATTCATTAGCAATACAAACGACCTGCTTACCAAAATTCCGACCAGTGCAGCGGGGGCATTCTCCATCCCTTGAGCAACATCTTCAACATAGACCAACTTCCCTTGCCGCAAGTATTTGATACAAAACTCAATATACTCTGGCTACACGTTAACGAAATCGGTCTCCACAAACCCTTTCATCTCAATCCGCTTCAGGATGAGGCTAAACAGATTGTGCACACCCTCTGGTTCCTCAAGATTGTATTGTGAATCATACCACAGAGTGCGATGCGGCCATGAGCTTTCATCTGTAAATTAACTTCATCAAGCATGCGACCACCAACATTGTCGAGGTAAATGTCAATGCCTTCGGGGAAGTACTTCCTTAATGCTGAACCTAAATTTTTCTCCTTATAGTTGAACGCTTCATCAAATCCCATCTTTTGCTTTAAGAGATCAACTTTCTCCTTAGTGCTTGCACTTCCAACCACATAGCAGCCGATCATTTTCGCAAATTGTCCAACAAGTTGACCAACTCCTGCTGCTGCAGAAGAAACATAGAAACAATCGCGTTCCTTCGGATAACATATTTTGTGAAATCCAAAGTAAGCTGCAATTCCCGGCATTCCCAAAAATGCCGGCATAGTATGAGAGGGGCACATCAGTAAAACTGATCTTGTTTAGCCTATCCGGGCTACTGATCAGACTGTACTCCTCCCACCCAATCATCCCCCAAACAAAGTCACCTTCCTTGAACCTTGGATGTGTGGACTCCATGACCTTGGACACACCATATCCAACAAGGACAGAACCAAGAGTGAAGGACTGGATAATAGTCCCGGGATGAGCTACCTGATGGACATGCGGTGGCGCATGTAAGGCTCACAAGAGAGGTATAGGTTCTTCAGAAGCCCAGCCGGTGAGGAATCATGGGAAAGGCTGCAGTTGATGAAAGATGATCTCAAGAGTTCGTCATGCAGCACAAAATTTGTGTCGGAAACATACCCTTGTTCCTTCATCCTCCTCAAGAGTTCGTGCAAATAGTGATGTATTTCATCATATCTAGGGTGAGACATATCTCCCACTAAGAAAACATGCACCTCTTTCTTGATATCGATCCAGCTCAAACCTGGTTTCCTTATAAACCCTCTTTCTCCATCATCCTTTTTACCTTTGTTACTTCACCCCACATACCAACAGTAGCATAAATGTTGGCCAGAGTGATATAAGTAGTTGGATTCTCAGGTTCTATCTCAAACAACGCATCTGCAGCTCGCTTTGTGAGCGTGAGGTTTCCATGAATTTTGCAACCACCGAGTAAGGAATCCCACTAGTACTTATCTGGTTTCGTTGGCATTTCATTACTAACATTCTTAGCTTCTTCAAATCAAACTGCTTGGGCCAGTAAATCAGCTCGACAGGCATAGTGGTCTGCGGTATGAGTTAACCCATGTTTTGCCTTAATTAAATGGAAGTATTCAAGTCCCTTATCAACTAAACCGGCATGAGTACAAGCGGAAAGAACACCTACAAAAGTAATGTGATCGGGCTTAGGACATGAATCAAATAGCAACTTAAACAACTGAAGGCTTTCATTAGATTACCATTATGAGTAAATCCAGCAACCAGGGATGTCCATGTAACCACATCTGGGCGGGCCATCCCATTAACACCTTAATTGCATTCTCAGTGTTTCACACTTTGAATACTTATGAGGGTTATTATACAAAATAGTCCATGAGATTTGCATGATCAATAGAAATGGTCCTTAGGATTTAAAATCAATAGAAATGGTCTCTGAGATTGTCCACCATCCATGATTTTGGTTCTTTCGTTAAAAACTTTTTGGTCAATTTTCAAATCTTTGTAACTCAATCGATTTTTAACCAAATTCGACCCATAATATATCAAAATAAAGATAAGAAAGTATAGAATAAGATTATACATATTTGAAAGCCCAATGATTGCCGGAGATGGTCGGAAAATAGTCTGGAAGGTGACTGATCCGTGGGAAAACTAGAAAACTCGCTGGAAACTGGGTAAACTTTAAACGTTCATAACTTCTTCAATACTCAACAAAATCATACTTCTCGACGAGACGAAAAGAATGGTATCTTTCTTGACTGTTAACTCGCCGTGGTTTGGCCGGAAAACTGCTCGAAAGTGGCTAACTCGAAAATAGTTAGCCACTTTCGAGCCGTTGTCCGACCAAACCACGGCGATTTAGATTTCGAAAAAAGCACCATTCTCTTTGTCTCGTCGAGAATTATGATTTTTGTTTTTTGTTTTTGAATCACTCGATTTTGTTGAGTATTGAAGAAGTTATGAACGTTTAAAGTTTACCTAGTTTCTGGCAAGTTTTCCAATTTTTCCTCGGACCAGTCACCTTTTAGGCTATTTTCCAGCCATCTCCGGCAATCATTGAGCTTCCAAATAGGTATAATCTTGTTGTACACTTTCTTATCTTCATTTTGATATATTATGGATCGAATTTGGTTAAGAATCGATTGAGTTACGAAGTTTTGAAAATTACCCAAAGAGTTTTTAACGGAAGGATCAAAATCATGGATGATAGACAATCTCAGGGACCATTTCTATTGATCATGCAAATCCCAGAGACTATTTTGTATAATAAGCCTAATAAGCGCACTTGCTGCAAAAGACAAGGGGTCAAATACCCGTGAACCTGCTTGCCCAGATTCTCAGCAGTATGATGAGCACATGCATTAAAACCCCTGCAAAGGTGAAACCGTCTAATGCCGGACTTCATCAACTCCGAGAACAAAGAAAATCCATCTCCCTTCAAAGTATCTGTCAATCATTGGTATCCATTTAACATCTCGATTCACCATCTTATAAAAAATGCGCCTCGCTTCCTCTATCCTCCCACATTTCCCATACATATTTGACAAGGCACTCCAAAAGATCTTATCCGAGTCCAACCCAGTTCGCATTATATAGCCATGAATCTCCTTCGTTCTCAAACTCTGAATGGCTGCCGAAGCAGCAACAACACTAGACGCTGAACTTATCAGATTTCGAATTATCGCTTCTCTGCGTCATCCTAAACAACCGCAAAGCCTCCTTAGGCCAATCATGGCGAACACACCCCGATATCATCACAGTCCAAGAAAGATTCTCTCTCTGAGGCTTTTCATTAAACAATTTCCTAGCCTCACCAAGCTGCCCCACTTTCGCATACCCCGATACTATCGCAGTCCAAGAAATATTC